AGCAGCTCTGGATGTGAGGGTGGGGGTGGGATGGTGACAAAAGCCTGTAGAAACAAAGGACTGGGTAGGAGGTGGGTGGGTGGCAGGTGAGCTGTGATCAGCTCACACCTTTCAGGGACATCAGACATTAACTTGGGTATCCTGAGCTTTTTGTGTTGGACTTGAACTCACTGAGAGCAAGTATGTGCCTTTTTCTGACCAGGAACAGAGCTGGAAAAACTAGTATTTGCATTGGTAGGATGGTTAGTATTTTTCTTGAACTGTTTTTAAAGCTCAAAACCCTTGGTCAGAGTTGGTTTTGTGTTGAATTATTTAATCAAAGCAAGCCCTGAATTATTTGTGAATTAGAACTACCCAGAGAGGAGAAGCTTTTAAAATAAGTGGTTTCTGGAGAGTAATGTCATCAAATAAATCTACTTCCTGGTAGACTTGCAATTTTTTTAAATAAAATTTAACCTTGATATGTTTATCTAATGAGAATCATTAATTCTGCCTTTATTTGAATGTTGCCTGTCCAGTGATGTCCTCGCTCTTTACTGTGCTCCTGCAGCTTTCCATACACTCCATTTTCTCTCCCCTCCCCACCCATTTGGAGGTTGCAGGGACATGGGGAATGTTGTCCAGTGAATGTTGGGGAGCAGTGCAAAGCTTTGCTCAGTGGGGACGTGGAGGTGAGGATTAAATGTCACAGATAAGTTCAAAAAGCAGTTTGCCAGCAGCAGGGGTGGCGATGCCTGGGGACAGAATTGTGTGGTCACCTGGGTGTGGAAAGAGGAACAATCCCCCATCCTCTGGCACCAGTTGTAGACACTGCACTGTGCAGAAGTAAGCACATGTGTGTGCTTAGATGCCAGTTTGGGCTTTAAGCTGCTAAAAAAAGCTGATTTTCAGACCAAAATGGAAGAGCTTTTCCAACAGGTTCTATTTGAAGCTGTTTTGAGACACTGGCAAGTTGTCCAGCCAGGAGCTCTGGAACCAGCTGACTCTGAAGCAGGTTCCCTTCCTGACCTGGGGGAAATGATTCTGCCTCATTTTTCATCTAGAAAATGCTTGTGATGATTCACATCGCCTTAGGAGAGTGAGTTACCGGGTGATCTGAGGGTGAACCATGTCGTGACAGTGGTAACCTCGTGACACAAACCCATGCACTTCTTGCACATTTGTATCTTCCAGTGATTCCAGTTGTTTGGAGCCCATCCCTGCTGGGAGCTGGAGCTCTTCCCTCCCATCCCATTGCAGCTCTGCCCGAGGCTGAAGCCCCTTGGGGTCAGTGTCTCCTGTGTTTGCCATCTTGCTTTCTTTAAACCAACCCATTTGTTGTGAAACAGATGCTCAGAGGGCAAGTTTATTTAAATGAAAGGGGTTTTTTTCATTGCTGAGAATTACACAGGTCTTTCAAATGCATTTGGCAGTTGGAAAATTAATGCTACAACGCTATCTAGCAACACAAAAATATGGCTGTATGTTGAGTTTAGGGCCATGCTTGCCCATAAATCATAGATCCACAACCCATTTCAGTACAGGTGTGCAAAAGTTAGCTTTTAAAATAGTTACTAATAAACTTTCATTTTGCTTACACTTGCAAATCTCTTAAATATCTTCAAAACCAGTTTCTTTGATAGAAAATACGTGTCTTGGTAGGTAGTGTCCACTCAGATGTAATAGCAAAGTGATGCCCACTGGAGCAATGCTGAATTTAAAGAACTTCTGGAAGTTTTGGAACCTGATGGTGTGCCAGCAAAGTGAAAACTTGAGTATTGCTCCTGAAGTAGTGAGGATAATTGAACACCAACAAAACTTGGTGAGAGGAAGAATGCCAGAGATGGAGTTTAGCTTCTGGCAACTTTGCAGTGCAGAATGGCTTCTTCTGGGTACTCGCTTTTGTGCATCACTTCTCTCCTGTGGCTGTAGTGTTTACTTTTTTTTGAACTTGATTTCTGTTTTTCAGTGAAATCTTCTCATTTTTGCAGTTTTTCAGTGTTGAATCTCTCCTTGAGACAACTACACGTTGTTTTCCTGTAGAAAAACCTGCTTCTAGCTCATTGTGTTTGGTGTCTGTTTGCAGGCAGGTGTGAAAAGTGAGCTGCAGCACAGCAGTGGGGCGGGCAGAGCGAGTTTTGGGTCAGAACCGTTGGTTTTACAGGCACTGGTGCACAGATCAGCGTTCCAGGGGAGCAATGACACTTTGGACTCACAGGGTACAAACCCTCCTTCCTGTTATTGTCTCTTCCCTTGATATGAGCAGTTCAGCTCCCCAGGTAGCCTCATGGTGGATAAATGGTGCTTGGTGGGGAAAAAGTGGGCTGTTCACCTGGCTGGAGGAGTGTGATCATGGACAAGGACATTGTCTGTCAGCAGGTGTTACTCCAGAGCTTTCACAGGAATTGGTAGCATTTGGTTACAAGCTAATATTAAAGGATTTTGGGAAGAAGGTGGCTCAGGTGGCATCGTGTGTGCTCACTGGCCAGTGAGCTCTGTTAGTTTTGGAGACTGCTGGAAGCAATGTCACACATAGAAATTTTGCATATTTAATACCATGGGTTTATATTGTTCAATAAAAGAAAAAGTCATGCTGTTTGGGATTCCTTTTCTGAATAAAATTCTAATAAACCAGTCTGGTGGATTGATCCTGTCCCATGTGTCTGCTCTTTCTCATATGCTGGTAACTGCTCCCCTGTTTTGGTGTCCCATTGCTTTGGCAGGAGCGTGAATGTGTTCCCACCGTAAAGGTCCTGGGGGCTTTCGAAGCAAAAGGGAAATGTTTCAAGAGTAAAGTAGAGCTGTGACTTGAGACGTTGCACAAATAGATTGTAGATGGATGGCAAACAAACTGGTAAAAGCCTTTATTTTTACTTAACCATCTTGACCATGTGTGCCTCTTTGTACCGTGGGCTGCAGCTGTGCGGGGTGGGAGGGAACGTGTTGGTGTTTGAGATGTACTTGCTAAGCAGAAGCCGTGTCCTCTGCCCCTTCTCCCTTTCTGGACAAATTGTTCTTGCCAAAATTTTCTACCTGTTGCAAGAGTTGCTTTCCTTCCAGCACAGTAAAATGTCGACTTCTTTCACTGTTCCTTCCCTCTCGTAGGCATCTGTAACCTCTGTACGACTGTGTATAGGACACAGCAGTCATCGATCTCTGCTGGCTATAGATACCATCAACTTGAGTGTATTGTAAACGAACTGTATTCATTTGAAAAATAAAATTTTTTTGAAATGCACGTGTGTGAGGCTTTATTTATACTTGCATCATTTTGATTTAATCCCAAAGAACGGAGCTGATATTGGTTTGGGTGGGGGTTGTGGAGGGAGGCACCAGGCATATCCAAGGAGAGAAAACTACTTACTTTCGGTCTTTTTTTTTGTATTTTAATGTATTATTTTAAAAATTTAAAGTTAAAAAAAAAAATTTTAAAAATGCAAGAGCTTGTTGAAGTGCCCATAGCCATCCTGGGGCAGGATGGCTGCTGTGGAAATGGGAAAGGGCTCTAGAAGTGGACACCCCCGGCTCCCTCCTGCTTTATGGGGCCTTTCTTTTTTAACAGTATTATTTGTCGCTGATTTGGGCGCTGCTTTGCTGCGATTTGCGGTATCCCTGTCACCGATACCGCCCAGGAGCCGCCGCCGGGGCGGCCCCGCAACGGCCCCGCGCGAGCCCGGGGCGAGAGCGGGGAACGGTGAGGGGAGAGCGGGGAATCGGCCGGGAACGGTGAGGGGAGAGAGGGGAATCGGCCGGGAACGGTGAGGGGAGAGCGGGGAATCGGCCGGGAACTGTGAGGGGAGAGAGGGGAATCGGCCGGGAACTGTGAGGGGAGAGAGGGGAATGGGCCGGGAACGGTGAGTGGAGAGAGGGGGATCGGCCGGGGACGGTGAAGGGACAGCGAGGTTCGGCCGGGAACGGTGAGGGGAGAGAGGGGAATCGGCCGGGAACGGTGAGGGGAGAGGGGGGGATCGACTGGGAACGGTGAAGGGAGTGGGGGGTTCGGCCGGGAACGGTGAAGGGACAGCGAGGTTCGGCCGGGAACGGTGAGGGGAGAGGAGAAATCGGCCGGTAACGGTGAGGGGAGAGGGGGGGATCGGCCGGGAACGGTGAGGGGACAGCGAGGTTCGGCCGGGAACGGTGAGGGGAGAGGGGAAATCGGCCGGTAACGGTGAGAGAGCGGCCCGGCCCGGCCCTGCGGCGGGACGGGAGCATGGTCGGGCCGGAGGAGCTCAGTGCCCTCATAGCAGCCGGGGTGAGGCCCTTTCCGAGCCGGCGGCTGAGGCCTTTCCCTCTTTCTCCCTTTCCTGTCTTTCCCCTCTACCTACGGCCGGGCCCCTGTGTCCCGCGGCCCTTTGTGCTCTCTCTCCTTCCCTTCAGGAACTCCTGGGTCAGCCTTGGGGTCGGTGCTCGAGGGGCTCCGGCGCAGCGCTCTGTGCCCGGGGGGCTGGGGCAGACATGGGATAGATGTCCCGCTGCCAAGCGATTCTGCCCCAGAACTGCCCCCGACCGTAGATTTGGGCACCTGCAGCCCCCTCGGGAGCTCCTCGGACCTTGTGGAGTGGGGTCTGCAGTTTCTGCCCGTTGTGCAGGGTGTGCTGGCTAAAAAAGGAGACTAAAAACTCTGCTATTCCTTGAAAGCCTTGGAGTCCCGGGGGTCACAGCCCTGGGCTAAGCCTTCAGCGGTTGCACAACAGAATCAGTCATATCCTCAGCCATTTTTGTCCAAGCTCAGTAAATATCATATGGAAGCTGGTGCTGTGAGCAGCTCCTTATCCTTGCAGTTACATTCCTAGGGAGGGACAGATGGGACAGGGCTTTTCCCCCTGGCCCGGGGCAGGGGATAGCTCCCATCTCCTGCCCTTGTGCTCCCCCACTTTAAGGACATGTATCTGCATTAGGCCAGGCGCCAAGTTGCAGCTTGCTGCTGCCTTTCTCCTGAAGAGCTCTGTAGTTTTTGGCTGCAGCTCCATTTCAGGTGTATTTCCATGAATAAACACACAAATCTTCCGCTCTCTTTCAGTCACCTGTTCAGCAAGATGGCCTCGCTGAGTGTAAAGCCAGGCCAGCGCTTCACCTTGCCGGACTGGAAGAACAACTCCCTCCTCATCTCGGCGGACGCCGAACAGCAGCGTTTTAATTCCCACCACATCCGGCAGGAAGGACGAGTTCTCCGCAATGACACCGGCAACCAGGTGAGCTCTCTGCCAGGAGGGCTGCTCACAGCTTTGTCAGGATAGTGGGCTGAGGAGCTGGGGAGCGTGTCTAGATTTGGGTGTATGGATGGGGAAATAAAAGGCTTTACCTGTACATTTACTCCCTGTAAACCCACCTGCAATGATGTATCTGTACTGACACTAAATCCCCGCGTGTGTTTCTCACATTCACTGCCACTGATGTTGTTCTCTGTGCTCTCCATTTGTGTAAATGACTGTGAATCCAAATGGCAACGTGTTGTATTCCTGTGAGAGGCTCAGTCAGTCCTGAAAACAGGGAAAGGCTTCAGCAAGATTCACAACTACAATTTTAAAATGAGTAACGGCATTTCTCTCTAATTGCAGGCAAAATGGGATGAGCACAACAGCCGAACCCACCTAAAGGATCGTATCACCACCGTGGACAAATGGAGAGAGGCCCTGGCCAAATGCCTCAAAGACCTAGACTCGGAAATTGATGCCTTAAGCAAAGTATGTTGGGAAGGCAGATGGCTGGAAATGAACTTTCACTCTCAACATGGGATGTGAAATAATTGAGACTTGTCTTGTGCAATGGGCAAGCTCTATATATATTTATGTCTATTTTATACTGAGATCCATACTTGATGGAATGACTTCCCGGAAAACAAACCACTGTGTTCTTGGCTGGGCCAAGCCATACCATGCAGCTGTGTATTACACGCTCCTGTTTGGATTTCTGGGTGGATTTTGTTGTTTGGACTTTTTATAAAGATCTGAAGGATAATAAGAAATATGTTAACACCATCCTCCAAAAATGTTTGGGTTTATATAGGGAATAGTGGTGGGAGATCTCTGATACCGTGAGTTTTAAACCCAGAAGCTGATGCTGCTTCTGGAATTGTTAACCCCTAGCAAGATGTGATTCCCAATGCAAGTGGCAGGTGTAGAGGACTAAGGTGTTTGGCTCTGGCAATTTTTGTTCCAGACTTGATAAAAGTTTCAGAACTGCAAAGACAATGAGAGTCCCTCTTAATGATGGTATGGGTGGGTTCCCCTTCCTTTCTCTCTCCCATGTCTAAAAGATCCCCCACAGACCTGATTGATTGCTTCTTCCAGGTGAAGGAAGCAGCAGAAAATGCCATCCAGGCAAAGAACTTGTGTTTGGATGTTGCCATTGAGTGCCTGACATTCCGTGAGAGCCGTCGTGACATCGATGTGGTGAGGGATCCTGTGGAAGAGGAATTACACAAAGAGGTGAAGGTGATTGAGAAAACCAAGAAAGAGCTGCAGCAGCGAGTGGATGATGCCTTCAGACAGCTCTGGTGAGGAGTTAGAGCTGTTGGTTGATGACTCTGCTCTCCTTGCTTGGTCCCAGATACTTAATGTGCCTCTAATGCCATGCTGAGATGAGCAGGGAACCACACAGAACCCCTGGGGATTTTCAGGGTCAGGGATTTGGCAGGGAAGGGTGTGTCAAAGGCAACTTCACAAGCACCATTTGGAAATTTTGTCCCAGACCTCTTGTGCCACCTGCCTTGGTTTAGGAATCAGTGGCCACGAGGTGTCAAAGCTCCCATGCCCTGATACTCTGTGGGAATCCTTCACAGCTCCATTCTCCAGGGTGATACCAGGCAGTGCTGGGCAGGTCAGGCCCAGTTCCCAGGAAGGGTGGGAGCTCATCATTCATTTCACTAAGATGACTGATGTGTGTTGAAGGCTTTGGGAGTTGTGAGCTGCCCCTGCCCTGGGCCTGCTCCCTGCTGACCCCAGCCTGGCTCTCCACAGCCTCTTAAAGGAAGCTCGTCAGCAGCTGAGCTGCGACCACCGGCACAAGGTGGAAGCGTTGGAGCTCGATCGGCAGTGCATGTCCTTCAACCCCACCTCTGGCAACATCTCCTTCAAGGTCAACCCAACACGGATCCCAGATGGGTAAGGAAAGACTCTGTCCTTGTGTGATCAAATCTGCCCCGAGCCCTGGGTTGCCTTTTCTTTCCATGCTGTGTCCAGGCTTGATGGGTAGGTACAGTTTTGGAGAGAGCTCAGAACAGAAATTGGCTGTGGCATGGGGAAGCCACAGGTTTTTGGGAGATACCTAAATTGTCACCACAAACCCAGTGCCCTGCCTCCCTCCTGCCTGGCTGTAAGTGACACTCAGCAGTGTGGTGTCACCTCTGGCACAGCTCAGGGGGACCTGCTGCACATTTTCACTTGCCTGGCATTCCTTTCCATGGCTTGGATGTGTCCCTGGTGGAGCAGATGTTGGGCCTGGTGGGGTTTAGTCTCTGAGGAGATCAGGGAAGATGTGACCTCCAGCTTTCCAGAATCATTTTGTGCTGCCACCCTGGCCTCAAGCAGGTGGTTCCTTTAAAATGTCTTGCAATTTATTTTCGTAACTGATTTGTTCACAGAACAACTGCACTTAGTGAGTGGGAGCTGAACAGCCGGTGCAACAAGGAGCGTGCTGAGGCAGAAATGAGAGCCTCAGTTGATCTCCGAGGAGCAATCACACTTACCATTGCCCAGGTAAACTGCTCCCTTGGCCTGGAATCTGTGGTGCCATTCTGGATCTGGTGTGGGAGAGTGGCAGGCATGTCTCTGGATCTGTCTGGGAGCAGCTGCCCTCCTGGTTTAAGTAGGAGCTTGGTTATGCTGCAGAGCTTGCAGCAGTCACTGGAGGCATGTCCCTGTCCATCTATCCCCACCTTCTGGCTACTGGGGAAGTGTGACATGCACACGTGGCAGCAGCCAAACCTGGTTGGTTTTGCTCCTGGGTTTGTCCCAACCTTCCAGGCACAGCTTGGGGGTGACACAGACACCTTGCAGCCATGTGTGACTGGGGCTGTTCTCTCCTCAGACAAACAATGAGCTGGATGCTCAGCGTATAGCTACAGAGTTTGCACTGAGGAAGAGGATGAGAGACATGGAAGCAGCCCTTAGTGAGCTGAGATGGCAGGAGAAGAATGTAAGTGTTGTTTCTTTTGTCATGGACTACAACCCTGGCTGGAAACAGAGTCCCAAAGGCTCTTGGTTACATGGAAAGTGACTCAGCCTGAGTATAGTTTCCACGTGTTCGCTGTTTAGTGCCACACATGATCCCAGCAATATCCCACCACTCACAGGTGCTTCTCTGGCACTGCTTGGCCTCACTGCCAGGTTTCAGCCTCTTTATTGTACCCCTTGTCTCAGCAGCACCATCCTGGTCCATGTAACAGCAGAGGATTCAGTCCTCAGAAGCCCTTGAGTAAAATCTATCCCCAGCACAGCAAAATTCCCAGAGACATGGGGACAGTTTCCCAGTCTGCATCCCGGGCTGTCCCTCATGACACATGTCTGTCCTCAGACCTTGGAGGAGATTGCTGAGATGGAGGAGGAGATCCGACAGCTGGAGGAAGATATCAAGAAGAGAACCCTGGATCTGAAAGTGGCTCACACGCGCCTGGAGACGCGCACATACCGGCCCCACATCGAGCTGTGCCGGGACCAGGTACCCCAGCTGCCATGGTCCCTGCAGGGAGCTGAGGGGAAGGGGGCTCTGGAAAACACGGATGAGTGGTGGAGCAGCTGAGAAATGCATCCTACAGTAACATAGCAGAGCAAGGGAATAATGGCAGAGCTGGGGGAGAGGGGAAGGAGGGAACTGTGGCCTTTGTCAAAGCCCTCTTAAGTGCTGTCCCGTCCTCCCTGCAGGCTCAGTTTGGACTGACAGACGAGGTCCAGCAGCTGGAGGGGATGATCCGTGCACTCCAGCAGAAGAGGACGGAGTCACAGTGAGTGTCCTGCTGTCCAGGAACAGCAGTGCCCAGCACTGCCCTGAGGGGATGTGGCTCTGGGTGTCCCTGCTCTGGGCACACCTCCAGCACCTGCCTTTTGGGACTTGGGCTCATGAAGGGCAGCAGTGTTTGGGCTTGGTGGATGTGGGGTACAGAGGGGCTGTGCTGGGAGGGGAATGGGGCTCCCACAGCCCCTGCTTGACTCTGAATTCATCCAGGCCCTGACTGTTCCAAAAGGGACAAAAAGAAGAGTGACAAGGAAGGAACAGAAGTGCTGCTGTGGGCTGGCAGCTCCCCGGGTGCACATCTCTTGCTGCCCTCCCAGAGCAGTGTGTGGGCTGGCTATTCACTGCCCCAAACAATGAGTATCTCATGAGTTCACTCCTTGTTCAGGGCCAAATGCTGCCACAAAGTGGGAAGTTGGGTGCTTCCTGTCCAGTTTAAAATCATGGAATATCCTGAGTTGGGAGAGACATGAAAGAGTCACTGAGACCAACTCCTGGCCCTGCATGGGACACCCAACAATCCCCCCCTGTGCTTGAGAGCATTTTCCAAATGTTCCTTGAGCTGTGGCAGGGTTAGGGCTGGGACCATTCCCTGGGGAGTCTGTTCCCATTTGATCCCAACTCCTGTCCCTTCTGCTCATTCCCAGGGATGCCTTGGACGCCCTTTACAGACAACTCCACCGCATTCAGACCGATATTGGCTACAAAACCAATTCTCTGCAGCTAGACAACAAGTGCATGGACACCCGGAGAAAACTCGTGGTCCCTGTGGAGAAGTTTGACCCAGAGGTCGACGCTGTCAGCCGCACCAGGAACCTGCCGAGGGAAAGTCAGCTGGAGCTGGCTTAGCGCGCCGGGAATTGTGCAAGCGCGGGGGGAATGGAAAACTCCCGGTGATTCAGTTCCGCAGCGAGGAAAAGCGACATCTGCGTCGTGTTTGGGGAGAATGGAATTCTTCTCCTAGTTTGTTTTATAACTGTCTGGCCCTTGGATGATGTTTACAGCCTCCCGCGCTCCGAGGAGATTTATAAACAATAAAGGGCCTGTCCCCAGTTGTCATCCGCGGCGATTAAATCCAGCTGGATTCCAGGAGGGATTTGAGGGAGCAGGCGGGTGTGCTGTCGGCACCTCGGTCCTCCGGGCCGCCAGGGGGCGCCACTGTGCGCGGCAGCGACTTCGGCCCACGCTGCCCCCTGGCTGCCCGGGGGAAGAGGGCGCCGCGCGCAGCAAGATGGCGGCCGCGGGTCCGGCCTCAGGCGCCGGGCGGCTCCCGGCTCGTCCCCGGCCCGGCCTCGCTCGGTTCCGAGGCTGCTTGGCCGGGGCGTTGTTAGGGGATTGCCTGGGAGCTGTTTTCGAAGGCAGGAGCGTCGTGAAGCTGCCGGAGCTGCTGAGTTTCCTCAAAGGGCTGGAACCGGCGCCGCCTGAGGAGGGAGGGGAGGCGGCGGGGAGCGCACGTGGAGGTGCGTGGTGGGGAGCGCGGCGGGGAGCGGGGGATGTCCCCCGGTGCCCCCTTCACACACCCCGCTGTGCACGGCACTCCGCACGCCAGAGATTCGGGTTAGACCCCAGCACTCCCCAGGACTGGCCTTTGGGGTCCAGTTTATGTTCCACTCCCTCAGCACCCCCAGGACTGGGCTTTGAGGTGCCCAACCTGCAGAATCCCCAACCCCTCAGCTCCCCCGAAATGTGGGTGCCCCCAGTGCTTACCCCTCACCTGGTGTGGGGCATCTCTGCTGTGACTGCCTTGGCTGTTCCCTGCCCTGCTCTGTCCTGTGCCCATTCCTGATTCCCTAGGGATTCCTTAGGGACACCGCTGATGCAGAAGGCCCCGTGGTTTGCTCTGCTCGGCCCGAGCTGCTCCTGTTCCAGGGAGCTGAGGTGGAGTGTGCTGGGGTGGCAGTGTGAATGGGTGTGGCAGTGCTGGGCTGTCAGCAGGGAGCAGAGGTACCTCAGCAACCTGAGGAGGAGAAGAGTGAGAGAAGCACAGAGTTTTTATTTAACTCGTAGGAAATTATTGCAGCCTTACAGTGCCTGAGGGGAGTCTGCAGGAAAGATGGATGCTATTGACAAACCTTGGAGTGACACGGGGAATGGCCACCCATTGCCAGAGAGCAGGGATAGATGGGATGTTGGGAAGGAATTGTTCCCCATGAGGGTGGGGAGGCCCTGGCACAGGTTGCCCAGAGGAGCTGTGGCTGCTCCATCCCTGGAAGTGTCCAAGGCCAGGTTGGACAGGGCTTGGAGCAACCTGGGATAGTGGAAGATGTCCCTGCCCACAGCAGGGAGTGGAACAGGATGGGTTTTAAGGTCCCTTCAAACCTAAACTATCCTGGAAATCTGTGATTGTGTGTTGGCCTGGCTCTTGTCCATGTATACCTCTGGATGTCATACATCTTCTCCTGGCTCTTACTAATCTTGCAGTATATTCTTTGTCATTATAGCTGTGGATGCAGCTCCCTGGCTGTGTCTCCTGACTCTGACAACCATGGCAGTGTCAACCTCAGAGTGCCAGGGAACTTAAATTCCAGACAGGTTTGGGTTGGAAGGGCACCTTAAAAATCACTCAGTGCTACCCTCTGCCATGGCAGGGACACCTTCCACTATCCCAGGTTGCTCCAAGCCCTGTCCAGCCTGGCCTGGGACACTTCTGGGGATCCATGGGCAGCCACACCTGTCCCTGGCAACTTGTGACAGTCAGGCCCTGGAGATGAGGGTGGTGCTGGCAGAGGGCAGGAACAGTTTGTCCCTGGCTGCTGGTGTGACTCTTTGCCCTCCCGTTGCAGAGTCGCTGCCCTACACGGACGACACGGCCATGAGCAGGTCGGTGGTGCAGTCACTGCTGGCCAAGCAGGAGTTTGATGAAGTTGACATGGCCAAGAGGTGAGCATGAGGCTTCCTGAAGGTGTAACCATCACTGTGACTGTCTGTGGAAGGGGGGACAGAGGCTGAGGCAGACTAATGCTAATTACTAATTTTTGGAGGGGAAAAAGTTAGGAAATAGGTGGTTAATCCTTTAGTTTGTTAATCCTTTTGCTTTGCCATATCTTGGACCATGCAGCAGGATCAGCTGCAGTGTGGAGTCTGAAGCTGCCTTGACAGGGCAGCACTGCTGTGTGTCAGCCTTGTGTGTGTTCACCTTTGGGGAGAAGAATGCTTGGAGACTCCAGAAACATTTTGTTTCATGTTTATTTGTTGCTATTTATGTTTGCACTGTCCTTAATTTAGTGAGGGAATAGGAGTGAGCTCAGCTTGACTCTGTTTATGATCCGTTTCCCTGTTGAATCCCTGGCCCTGAGAGCATTTGGTTCCACTTAAGGGAAAGCATTTCTTTGTTTAGAAAACTCTTCCATTGAACTTGAACAAAAGACTTTCCTTGTGGTTGTGACCCACGGAAATGTTTCTAGTTTGCTTCTATTTTGAGGCAGAGCTGAGAGGGAAACTAGTGGGTTATGGAAGGTGATGTTTATACATCCTTCTTTCACACTGTTCTTTGGGAATTGTTTCCTGCAGAACTGTATCTCTGAGCCCTGTCTGTCCTTGATTTAGGTGTGTGTTATTAATTCACTTTAGCAAGAGCCTTCATCCAATCACAAACCCCAGTAACAGACCAAACCCCCGGGGTGTTTCCCCCCCTGCCCACACCAGGTTTGCTGAGGAGTACAAGAAGGAACCCAACAGGGGCTATGGGATGGCCGTGGTCAACGTCTTCAAGAAGCTCCTGAGCCCCAAGTGCAGCGACGTGTTTGAGCCTGCGAGAGCTCAGTTCAACGGGAAGGGCTCCTACGGGAACGGCGGCGCCATGAGGGTGGCCGGCATCCCCCTCGTCTACTCCGACATCCAGGATGTCAAGAAGGTAATGGAACATTCTGGGCTTCTCTGGGTGTCCCTGCTGCCAGGGGAGCGTCCCAGGAAGCTTTGCTGACACCGGCGTTTCTGTGGCAGTTTGCGAAGCTGAGCGCGGAGCTGACCCACGCCAACTCCCTGGGCTACAATGGGGCCATCCTGCAGGCCCTGGCTGTGCACCTGGCACTGCAGGAAGGGCTCAGCAGGGAAACCTTCCTGGAGCAGCTCATCAGCCACATGGAGCACGTGGAGGCAGATGACAAGTCTCTCAGTGATGCCCGAGCGTGAGTAGCTTGGGGAAAGCCCCAACCCTGCTTTGGTGGTTTGTTCTGGCTCTTCACAATCTCTCCTCTTCACTGCTCTCTCTGTTTGCAGGCTGGGATTTGAGGATTTACCATTTTCCAGGCGTCTCAAGAAAATCAAGGAATTTTTGGAGCTCAGCAGTGTTCCCAAAGCAGATGTATTGTTTGAGTTGGGTGAGTACCTTTCTTAGTACAAGCATTAGGAAAGCTGGAAGCAAGACTAACTTAGCAAGCCTGGTAGATGTATGTCCCTCTAGATTCCTCTTCAGCCTGTCAGGCACAGACTATGCTGGAAAAGCAGCCTGTGCTCACCAGTCAGGAATTGTGAGTCTCAACCCAGTGATTTCCTCTGTGTATTGATAGGAAAAAAAATTCTTGCTAAGATAAATTTACCTTGCATAATATTTCTTAATATTCCAAGACTCTTAAGGGCTATTGGGTCATCATGTTGAGTGGGAATGAGTAGATGTGGATGGCCAGGCTATACTGGGGTAACTGGGAATTGCTCTGCAGGATGTGAGTGGCACTGGGGAACTGGGGGGTTTCTGAGGGACAAACTTTTGCACCCTTTCCTGGTAAAATCCATGATACTGTTATGGAAAGTCACCAGTAGGAAGGGAAAAGGAAGGGAGGCCAGAGGGTGCTGACGGGGTGTGTTCCAGGCAATGGCATCGCTGCGCTGCGCTCCGTCCCCACTGCCATTTACTCCTTCCTGCGCTGCATGGACGCTGATCCTGACATTCCTGAGCACTACAACGCCCTGCAGAGAACCATCATCTACTGCATCTCCCTGGGGGGGGACACGGACACCATCGCCACCATGGCGGGGGCCATCGCCGGCGCCTACTACGGGGAGGAGCAGGTGCCCCCGAGCTGGGAGCAGAGCTGTGAGGCTTTCCAGGAGACCCAGAGGATGGCCAAGAGCCTCTATGAACTCTACTGCCAGCGGCTCTGAGCTCCAGGACAGCCCCAGGGCTTTCCTGAAGGCAAAGGGATGGTCAGCTCTGCTTCCCTGGTCAGACCCAGCCGTGGATCCGCGCCATCGGCCGACGCCAGCGAGCCTCACCTGGGAAGGGGGAGCCTGCTGCTGTCAGCTGGGAGCTGGGAGCAGGAGCCAGCCTGGAGAAGAGGGGACATCCCATTCAGTCAAGGGTCAGCTGGGAAGTGGCTGCACTTGGACAGTGGCTGCAGCTCCCTGAGTGTACACAAGTGTCTCATTTTCCATGGATTTCTGCTGCTTGCTTTGTCCACCATTGTGCCATTTGTCATTGCAGTTACTGGCGGGTGTCTGAATCCATGGACTTTCTCCCTGTTTTCATCTGCTCCTGTGTCCATGGGCTGTGTTTTGGTGGTCAGTGGCTTGTCCAGTCTCCACACCCCTGGTACAGCAGCAGATCATTGTCAGCTGGCCAGATAAGGGATGTCATAGGAGTCACCAGAGTGTCACCTGTGCTGAGTTAGGATAATGGAGCGCAGATTTCTGGGGACATTTGTTGCCTTAAAGGCAGAATGAGAAGGGCCAGAGAAGGGATTTCTTTGCATTGCTGATGGCTCTGTGAGAGACCTTTGATGCCTGCAGACAATCCCAGCTGGCTCATTGTCCCTGCTGGGAGAGGGTGTCACTAATTGCTGCTCCTCCTGTGTCCTTGGCCCTGTGATCCAACAGGCACCTGCTGCACTTTGTGCCCCTTGCACAGCTGCTGTCACACTGCTGCAGCCACTCTGGCTGCTCCTGTGTTCCTAATCTATGTATTCTGTATTTTTGAAGTCCTGTATATGCCCAGAGCACCAAGTGAGATTCCTGTTTAAATCACAGAATACCCCAAATTGAAAGGGACCCACAAGGATCATGAGAGTCCAGCTCCTGTGGAGTGCAGATCTGGGAGTGGAAGTAGTACAGGGGTAGAATGCCTGGTTCTGCTGCAGTCAGTCACAAAAGTGACTTGAGCAGGATGCAGGAGTTAATTTATCACAGTCTCAGCCTTTGTACTTGGTAAAATTTGCCCCAGAATTAAAGGGAAAGGTGGGTTAATTGGGGACATCAATATTGAAAAGAAGCTGGTGCTGGTGGCCAAGAACATTCTAGCACAGCTGTGTTCCAGAACTTCACATTTAAAACCTTTTCCTAGTGGAGCTGGTCAAAAAGGGAAAAACAGCTTGGGAATGGCACATCTAGAAAGGGTTGGAAGCTTTTTAATAATTGAAAACAAAAAGTCATCACATGGAAATGTTTATAAGCTTAAATGTGACAGTGTAACTCTTGTTATTTCTCCAGCATGTCTTGTGACACTGGGAAGTGGCTGTGGTGCTCCCCAGTGGTGTCAGCACGTGGTGGCTGTGTCAGGCTGCATGCACATGTGGGAATCTGGCTGCCACAGGTCCTTCCAGTTTTCCCCGTTGTCTGCTTCCTTCAAGTGCCAGTCTTTTGTGTGATGCTATAATGGGTTTTCCTTGTATAAATGGATTCTTGTCCTGGGAACGTGTGGAATTTTGGTCTGTTGTATATTTTTGTATTGTGCTGCAGATCTGAACTGTAAAATACCAGGTTTTCCACATTATTCTGCCAGAGGAACAACCAGATTCATTTAATTATTTAAAAGAAGATATTTTTCTTTTAAAGCAGCTTAATAATTTTAAATGTTTGGAACTCCTGACAAACAAAGAGCTCCTGTTTAAAGACCAGAGCTCTTTGGGCCTGAATTTAGATGTGTACTAAACCCTTCAGTTTCCTTGGAAGAAGTAAAATCCCTCAGTTATCTTTGTTAAGTAGCCAGTGCTCCTGTGTTTTCACTCAAGTCATGAAGTTGTGCATCCTCAGTGCCAAGAGGACCAGGAGTGGTTCTTGGCACAAGGGTGAGTTGACACTGGGCATTGCAGGGAGGGCCTTTGGAAAGGCCCCTTTTCCTTCTCACCTGTGGAAGGAGTTCAGGTGCTGGAATCCAGCACGTGAGGATGGTGCAGAGAGCAGGGAATTCACTGGGAGCCCCGTGAATGGCAGCAGGAGGATGGCTTCTCCTTGGAATGGGCTGGGTGTCAGCCAGGCTTCCCTGGAAATGTTTCACCCCTTAAGGTGAGATCAGGTGGGAAAACACATTTTCTTCTCTTTGGACTGTGAACCTGTGAAGGTGCAAGTGATTCACCAGTCCTGAGTGTTCCTGACGCTCTCAGGATTGAGGCTGGCTGTGCACAAGGTGTATGATGTAGAATAAAAAAATAATGGAAAAAAAACCACACAGAAGGGAAAGGGAATCCCTAAGACTTCATCTTGAATCCCTGAAATTAATCATCACCAGGCTGGAAGGATCTGGGTTTCAGCCTTTTCTAAAACTGAATTTCTGGAGGCAGGAGTCTTTTCCTTAATCACAAGAAACATGCAGTAACTTTTTGCATAAGGATATCAGGGAATCTGCTGGGAATGAGCAAGATCATTTGAGGTGGAAATAGAGTGTAAGAGAACTGTATGAGGCAGAGCAAGACCCAGGACAAAGCACAGGTGAGCCCACCTCTATACAATAAGTTTTATTGATGTTTGTCAATACAATCAAGTACTGCAGTTTTAGTTGTGAAGAGCAGGTCAGTTTTGGGTCACAAAGAGTGCATTTTAAACCAACTTTTACTAGGACAGTGCATGTAGTAAGTATTTACAAAACTAAAAACCTCTATATACTAGGTTAGAAATGAAGATACTAGAGGCAAATTTAAAAAAAAAATAGTAAGAATTTGTATATAAAAATGCACATTGTAATGCAGTTTTCAGCATTAAAAATAGACATACCTCATCCAACCCAACCTTTTTTATTCTTGTGATTGAAACCAAAATCCCACGCGCTCACACACACGACAGAAAATAATCCTTTCTGCTGGCTAATATGTACTCAATATTCCAGAAAAAAAAAATTCTTCTGGAGAGTGAACAGCCTCCCTCATCCTGTGCATCGTTTTTTTTTTTTTTTAGCCTAACTATGTGCGTGTAATATCTTTGCTTTCCATTAGTGTGTAAATGTAAGAGGTTAAATAGCTGCTAGGGGTGATTATGGGTTTGCTCTGCACGTGATAGGAAAGTGGAATTACAAAACTGTATCTACAGCACAAACTTAATCTGGGGGTGGCTACGGTGAGGAGTTTGGTCGTTGCTTTTTGCCAGCTCGAACGAGAAGTTTGGAATGAAGCAGAACAGAACAAGAAGAGATGGGCTGTAGATTAGGCACAGTATAAATAAGTTGCTTTGAGGAGCAGGATGAAGCTCCCACCAGGCGTGGCAGCTCCTGGCCCTGCACGAGGCTGGACCAGCTCAAATCCCTCTATTCTCCAGAGAAAAGGAGCCAAATCCCCTCCCAGCATCCTCTCCTACCAAACCTGGGTCTGGAAAAATCATCTGAGCTTCCACTTTTTTATTTAAGGGACTGTTCCCGCTGGGATATAACCTGTTAGGATCACAACCCAAATGGTCCTGACCATGCCCTCAGGAGTTAAAAATGTCCAGTGGGATCAGACAGCTTCCAGCTTGGAGGTTCATCTCTGCATGAAACTTGCAGCTTTAAGGAGAGAAATTCACAGGAAAAAGATCCCAGGGAGGGGACACACAGCCCCAACAGGCAGTGCCCACAGCACTGGCCGTCCAACTGCAAATTTCCTTCTTGTGTTTCTTAATTTCAGGGTAGGTGAGTTTTTAAAAGGAAGGCCTGAATGGCAAGAGGCAGAAACACAGGACAGGCTTGAGGAGAAAACAAACAAGCAAAACAGAAATAGGAAAAGAAAAGTTGTTTAAATATCTCATCGAGTCCATCTGGAAAACAAGCCCAGTCCCAGTCTTGCTACGTTTCTTTGGCCATCAAACAGGCTTTGGGAAAATGCAAAGGTCAGAGCTGGTGACCAAATTGTTGCTGTTTCTCAGGGATGTGCCTTTGCAGAAGGACATGCAGTGGGATATGCACATGGATTGACTTCAGCAGCATGCTCCTGGCCTGGGATGAGCAGCATCCCTGTCCTGGAAGTGGCAGTGACTGTTCTACTGTGAGAAAACCTGCAAAGCCACAGGATCTGTGTGGGGCAGTGCCATCATGCCTGGCCCAGAGCCCTGCAGCTCATGCTCAGGTCAGAAATGCTCCAAGCATTAGAGAGACAAAGTGGTAACAACAGGCAAATGTTGATTTCTTTAACCTAAGTCACAGAGTGGCCCCTGGGCTGGTGCCCTGTCACAGGTATTGCACTACACTTGTAAGTGATGTTCTTCAATGGGTCATAGCACCGTGGTGAAATCACTGTGTGGAAAGTTAGAACCAGCACTGTTTTTTCTTAATTCCAAGATCCCCAGAGGAAGGGGGGACACCAATGCAAGAGTTCACACATCCCAAAATAGTGAGACAGGAAAAGCAAGTTGTCCATCAGTGGCACTTCCTTATGTCACACCAGCTGGCAGCACCGTGAGCTAGGCTTGCACTGCCATCCTTGTGTGGGCAGAGATGCTCCTGAGGCCAAGCAAGTCTTTGGGCTGCAGAGACAGACGGGACAGGACCAGCCCTTGGACTTCCCAGCAGGTGAAAGGAGAGAGCAGATCGTTGTTCATCACGGGGTCCCAGCTTCCCTCACTGCCTTTGGAACCGGTCATGGCATCCTCCCAGGTACCAGTGCCTGGATGATTTTATTCCTAAAGGTGCTGGGGGGGGAGGGTTAAAAATAATATTTACTTCTTAGAAGAAGGTGCTTATGCAAAGTGTTCCACTCTTTAGGATTATAAATCCAACCACACTGAATCTGGAGTGAATCGGAGAGACTGCCCCAAAGCACAGTCTGGAAAAACAGGCGTCAGCAAGCCTGGAACTTGGGCATCTGATGGTTTGGAAGGAAATTTCTCAATCCAGCGTGGATCCCTGCTGCTCTATGGGTTTGTGTAAGTGCCTGGGACCCTGCGTTGGTTACCAGCACATTAGCCATGACACAGCTGGATTTATTTATCTAGCATTCCAAATGGGAAATGAGGGCACTTGATACAGGCCATGGGGGTCTGGTCTTCCTCTCTGGATGGCCAGATCCTTGCCATCCCAAGTGTGTTCCTGTGTTTGATGTCCAGTCACTGGGGTACTTATTCCAAATATGCTTTGTTGAAGAAGTCACTCCCCTCCCTCCCTTCTCCCTCCCCCAAAAAAAGAAAGATAGATGGATAGATGTCTCCTTCCCGATTACCCTCTTGACTCATGGATCAAACAGTGTGAAGCAAGGTCCCATGACAATGTCTTGCGCGTTCTTCCCAGTGATTTTTCTTTTTTGTATTAATTTTAAAACACTTTTTTATCAAAAAAAAAAAAGAAGTTTATGGCTAAAGTGGGTGAAAAGGAAACGTGCCCAACAGCTGTTATGTGGGGCAGAGCAGGAACCCGGAGAAGGAGGAGTGGATGTATTCCGTGGAGTACAGCCCATTGGCCTGGTCCGAGGGCATCTGTACCCAGACCTGGTCGTTCTCCTTGAGTTCAAGCACGGCACTGCCCGAGGCCTGGTCCAGGTACCCCTTTTTGTACTCATCGTAGGTGTAGGTGGCCGGCACGTTGTTCTTATACAGAGCCACCCAAACGTTGGTCCCTTTGACGTGCACGTGGTAGGCAAAGTAGTAGATTCCGGATACGGGGCAGGTGAAGATCCCGGTGACCGGGTTGTAGCCGTTGTGCCCGTTGTACAAGGTCCGGTCAAACTTGACGGGCATGCCGGATGCGGGGAAGGGGGAGGTGAGGATGGCAGTGAAGGCCGGCGCGATGCGGGCAGCGAGCTCTCCTCGGCCGTACTGTGGCTTGCCCGGCTTCCCGTTGCCCAGCACAGCCCCCTCCACGCCACCGTCCGGCAGGTGCAGCCCCGCGATGCCCGTCTCGTCCAGCACTCCTGGCGCTCCTGGTGGCCCAGGTGGCCCCGGTGGCCCTGGTGGCCCGTTCAACCCCGGTGTTCCTGGCATTCCGGGTGGGCCGATGGGTCCGGCCAGGCCAGGCTCGCCGGTCTTCCCCTCGCCGGGAATGCCAGGGAGCCCAGGCTCCCCTTTCAGGCCTGGTAACCCCTGAGGCCCCATGGGGCCAGCAGGTCCTTGCAATCCCGGGATGCCGGAGGGGCCCCTCAGCCCCGGCTGCCCTGGGATCCCACCGTCCCCTTTGGGCCCGGGGCCGCCCGTTAATCCAGGCACCCCCGGAAGGCCGATGAACCCCGGTTCACCTTTGGGGCCCGTTGGGCCGGGAGGTCCCAGTGACCCGGGCAGGCCCCTTTCTCCCGGCACCCCCGGCTTCCCCGCGAAGCCGTTCGGGCCCTGGTCACCGCGTATCCCCGGCATTCCCGGGGGCCCGCTCGGCCCCACGTCCCCCTTGGGGCCGGGTAGCCCGTGCTTGCCCGGCAGCCCCATGGACCCCGGCGGGCCCGGCGGGCCGATGATGCCGGCAGGGCCTGGCTCGCCCGGCTCGCCATCAACGCCGGGCTCCCCCTTATCGCCGATGGCTCCCTGTGCCCCGGGCTGCCCGCGGTCTCCTTTCAGGCCGGGCATGCCCGGCTTCCCATAGCCCGTGGGGCCTGGCAGGCCAGGGAGGCCGCGGATCCCGGGCTCTCCCTTCGGTCCCATGGGGCCCTGTATCCCCGGCACCCCCGCGACGCCCGGGACACCGATCCCGTCGATCCCGGGGGGTCCCCGCGGCCCCACAGGGCCGGGCTCCCCGGTGACACCCGGCCCGCCCGGGGGACCCATGTCGCCCTTGTCCCCGGGCGCTCCCGGCAGCCCATCGAGGCCAGGCTTCCCAATGCCGGCGGGCCCAGGGGGCCCCGCAGGGCCGGGAGGGCCCCCGTTGCCCCGGGGCCCCGGTAAGCCTGGCTTCCCCACGCCGTTTTCACCTTTCATCCCTCGTTCTCCGCGGGGACCCGGCTCTCCTTTCGGGCCAGGCTCTCCCCGAAACCCGGGCAGGCCAGGGCCGCCCTGGGGACCCGGCTTCCCATTGACAGAGAGGCCGGCTGGCCCGGGCAGCCCCGGCGGGCCGGGCAGTCCCCTCGGCCCTTGCTCCCCACGCATGCCGGGCTCGCCCTTGGCTCCGGGCATCCCTTTCATACCCGCCTTCCCGGGGAGTCCTGGGATGCCCGGTTTCCCAATGCCCGAGAAGCCCGGCGGCCCAGCAGGCCCAGGCTGGCCGTGCATTCCCGGCTTCCCCGTGCCCGGTTTTCCTGGGTAGCCGGGGGGCCCGGGAGGTCCACGAGGGCCAGGCTTCCCTGGCGGTCCTGGCTCGCCTTTGAGGTCCATGGGCAGCAGAGGCGGCATGTCTGTGGAGAGAGGAGACACAGAGTGTCACTAGAGCTGGCCTGGGCAAGGAGTGTCCTTGGGATGTTGGAACCAGGGTCTCTGAGTGGCCTGGGCTGGGCTTGAACGGGGACCCTTCCACTGAAACATGGCCACAGCAGCTTCCTGGGCCCCCACATCATCAGCAGGGCTGTCCTGAGGGGAGGCCAAAGCCCAGAGTTCTCTCATTCCAGCTTCACATCCCTCCATGATGTCAGGTGCCACCATGGAAGGTGCCAGTGCTTGTGTCAGCTCTGGCAGGGCTATTTTGTGATGAGTTACTGCAGGGTGGTTTTGGAGCTGGATTCAAACCTCCTGCTGCCTTGCTTCCCAGCGGCCTCGAAAGCACCGTGGGATTCAGTTGTTCCTGCCTGGGTTCAGCTGAGAGGATGGCGACAGAGCGAGCCAAGACTGGGGATAATCCCTCACCCCGTCCCGCGAGTCCAGGGCCTTGGGAGACCTTTAATCCTTTTGGATTAAAAAGAAAACTCTTGGACATGTACTCCAGAGCCTGAGGAGGTGATGGATGTATGGGTTAGGCCATGCCTACAGTGCTTGCTGGCACAGCTCCCGAGTCCAGCAAGGCAGAGAAAAACCAAAAAGCAAAAAAGCTCTGGGGATGGAGCAGAAGCCAAGAGCTGGGAGGGAAATGCAGCCTCAGCTCCGTCCAAATGAGTCAGCCCAGCTGGGAATAGGCCGCAACCACTTGACATTTCAAGAATTTATTGAGGTCTTTTGCAAACGGATATAAGAAAGAAACTAATGGGCTGAGAGACTCCAAAGGCAAGGAGAGGCAGATGACATGCCCACCACAGCTCAGCATGGAAAGCACAGACGTGAGCATAAATAACTCCTCGAGGCTGGCCCAGGCAGGGTGTCACCTCCCACGTGACACCAGGAAAGGGTGAGAAAGAATAAATCTGACAAACTCTTTTTTTGGGCAGTTTGAAATGAAGGAAATACTCGACAGTCACATGTACACGTGATGATGGTGAGAAATGCAAAAGGCAGAGGAAAGGGCTATGACATTTTGGGTGAATTTAAATCAAATCTGCCCGAGGGAGATCATTCCAGTTGGGAAGAGATCTATATGGACAAGTTCCTGGGATAGGGATGGATCCTGCCTGGGGTGGGAGCAGGATACAAGGTCTGCCAGTCTGGCCCCCTCGGTGAGCCAAGCTGGGCTTTGGGAGCATGGACACACGTGGTGCTGGGATCTGCCAGCACGGAGATTTCCTCAGTCAACGGGAAAAGCTTATGGGAGATTTGAGACACGTGAAAAGAATAACTGTGGCAGCAGCAGGCACAGCTCCCGGAGCATCAGAGGTGGCTTTGCCTGCCCTGAACACAGCAATTAGCTCTGGCCCTTCCCAGCCTGGTGCTGCTGTGTTTTCCTTGGGTAATAGAAACACTTTTAGAGCTTATCTATAAATCAAAGCCTGGCCCACGTCCCCAGCTGTAGCTGTGGTCACTTGGCTCTCTTGATGAAGGAAATACTTGTCTGTCATGACATTGCCACTGGATTTCTGCAAACTTCTGCTCCTCACTCAGGAAAACGGTGTGGAAAAGAGGGCAAGGGAGCTGTGCAGTGCTGCACTATTTCTGGGGTTTGAATTCTGGAAAAAAATTCTCCAGTAAATTATTTCAATGTGTTTTCTCCCCCTACTTTTTCTTTTTAATTTTTTATTTTCCTGCAATGGTTTGAAACGAATTCGTTTTCTAGGTCATTTTGCATGGAATCAGAACAAGGATCTACAGCTGAGCCCACGAAGGAAGGAAAAAGCACACACACACTCTCTCACACAAGGCAGTGGAGAGAAACGCCAGGCGGGAGCTGCCAGCTTGCAGGCGGCCAAAAAAGCAGACGGGAAAACCAAACCGGGGCCGTCAGCGCAGAGAAACTGGGACACTGCAGCCCCACTGGTGTCCGATTTCAAAAGCCCATGTCTTACCACAGACACATGTCTCGGAGCTCTGCACTTCACAGCACCAGCGAGGGGTTCTGTGCTCCCCTCAATGCATGAACTGAGCTGCTGTGAATGCTAACAGAGCCAGCTGGGGCAGCAGGAGGGGGACAGGGCAGGAATGACCCCTGGGAGCTCCCACCACAGAGCATCCCAGCTCCTGAGGAGCATGGACGTGGCCAGGTGGGTGCTGCAGCCCCTCCGGAGCTGTGTTCATCCCGTTAAGGACCCGTCCTGCCTGGAGAGGGGAACCAACAGCACAGCCTGGCCAGCAGAGGAACAATCCAGCAGGATGGGAAGTGGTTCCCAGCCATGAGCAGCCAGCAGTGGGTCTGGCCAGCACGGCCAGATGACACTGCAGGAAGGAGAGGTTGGCTGCTCTGTGGCGGAGCCCGGCCGAGCTTGTTCCAGAGCTGCTGCCAAGCTCTGTCTCGTGAGAGAGTTTCACAGGCTCACAGGGATGTTGTGTGGGATCAGTGTTTTAGCACCTCTCATGCTGTCTCCCAGCACTGGGTGCCCCAGCACAGCACTCATTCGTGGGTTTACCTGGCTGCAGGGCCATCGACATGGTTGAAATTAAGCCAAAATAAACCCCCAATGTGCAAATCTCTGCTTCAATGTTCTGAGCGTTTCAGCATTTAGCAGCATCTCCTCCCCTGAGCTCCCTCTGTGCTCTGGGGCAGCTATTTTTGGGTGAGAAAAGGTGTCTGGCACCCTGAAGAAACCTGTCACTCACCAGATGGCACCTGGAGGCAGGAGGGAACCCCCCAGCCCCGGGGCCAGGCTGGGGGGGCCCTGCAGAGCTCCCCCCGGGCCGGGGTAACCCGCAGGGGCACGGCACAGCCCTGCGCCGTCGCGGCGAGTCAGCTGAGCTCCCCAAGCAGGGCAGAAGGCCAGCAGGGATTTTCCTTGCCAAATTAGAGGTTAAGCAGAGATGGGAGCTCGGTGGGATCCAGGAGGCACCGGCTTCCCCAGCTGCCTCTGTGCGGCCCCACAGCCGGTGGCTCGGGCTGCAGCTGTCCCTGCGTCCCTCTCTCCTGTCCCCCACCTGTCCTCTCCTTCCCAAGGGTTTTAGAGGAGTAATGTCCAAGGGACTTCTGTGCTCGGCCCTGCCTCAGCGTCCCCTCTGCCTGGTCTAACCTGGCAGAGCTTGTCCATACCTCTCCTTGCCCCAGCCTGGCGCACTCTGCTCTCCCCACCATAGGCAGCGTTGCTCAGAGGCAATGCAAGTCACTCCCGTGCATAGGAAGAAGGGAAAAAAGAAGGGAGAACAGCAGGGAGAGATTTGAATCCAGTCCCACCAGCAGCTGAAGTGTTCCTGTGCTACGCTGGAAGGTTTTGGCTCTGGCTGGGATTCAGGGAGCAGCTTTACAACAGCTGGGAAGGGGGCAGGGAGGGGGGCCTTGTAGCACATTTCAGCTCCAGGTTTTGCTGTGTGTTTTCTGACACATGTGCTGGGCTGAACTCCTGATAAGCCATTCAGCCCTCCAGTAAATCAGCCACCGGTGGCCCAGCCTTCTCTGGTTTCTCCTCCCAGAGCCAAGACTTTAGCTCCTGGGAGGGTCCAGGTCCATGACAACCCCTAGGGAGGCTCCAGTGGCTCTCCCCAAGGGCCAAGCACCGACCTGGCAGGCCTGGATACCTGAGCCCAGCAGGGCCCCATCCCGTGGGGGTGCCAGCACTGGGCTGGGTGCAGGAAGGGCAGCTGGGGACAGGGGATTATGGAAGGCTGGGGGTGCTGGAGCCTCAGCTGTGCAGAGCAATGACCCTGGTGCCTCTGCCCCTCTGGGTGCACATCACTCAGTGGGGAGTGATTCAACACGTCTGGAGTTTCTGGTTGCTGCTCTCCGAGAGAGGAAATGTCTCTCTTCTGCTCTTCCCTTGCCAGGCTGGGTCTCAGCTCCAGCCTTGGCACTCTTTCCTTTCCCAGCTGGTGCAAAATGCAGACAGGGAAACGGAATAGGTGGAGGAGTGGAAAAAGCCTTGCCAGAACAGCTCAGGTTTAACAGCAGGGAAAGGCAGAGACAGCAAGTGCTGGGGCTTCTGTGCCTCCTGCTGCTGGGGATGGGCAGGAGGGCAGGAGCCAGAGGCTGGAGGGTCCCCTGTGTCCCCTGGCTCCCAGACCAAGGTGCCCTCCCAGCCCCAGCAAAGGGCTTCACTTCCCTGCTGAGCTGTGTCCACCCTGTCACTGGGTTAAAGACCCAAATGATCCGGCCATGCTTGGCCAACTGTTTTGGACAGCAGCACCCTTGGCTGTGCCAGGCAGCTTCCAGGAGCCTGAAGGGTGGAGGGTGACAAGTGCCCAGTGGCTGTGAGGTGCCACATCCCCTTCCCACTGCCCCGTGTCCTTACACAGTGCCACAGAGTGCATCCCTTACCCAGGTACTGCCCTTTGCCTTCACGGAACGGGGGTCCCAGGGGTCCCTTCACCATGGGCTGCATGTACTTGACTTGAGCGTAGCCCCCCACGCCGCCTCCCGCCGCCGAGCCGGGGCCCATCACCATCACCAGCGTGCCCAGCATCACCGGCAGCGCCACGACGTCCGGCAGCATCCTGCTCCCACGGCTCCTGCAGACAAAGCAACAGTGACATTGGGTACACACACCCCTCACCAGGACCAGCTGGGAGTCCAGGAATGATCCCCATGGGAACAGGACTCCCTTGAATCTGCCTTTTTGTGGGGCAGGTATCCTGAACACGTTGCCCCTCCTGACACAGCAGAGCTGGGAGATGCACGGTAAATACAGTTTATAGAATAGAATCCCAGAATCACTGAGGTTGGAAAGGACCTCCAAAACCATTGAGCCCAACCTGTGACTGATCCCCACTTGTCACTAGCCCAGAGCACTGAGTGCCACATCCAGTTGTTCCTCAGACACCTCCAGGACTCCACCACTTCCCTGGGCAGCCCCTTCCAATGCCTGACAGCCCGTTCCACAGAGAAATTCTTTCTGATGTCCAACCTGAACCTCCCCTGGCACAGCTTGAGGCTCTTCCCTCATCTTGCACTGTAACCAGCCATAGGGGTGCCCAGTGGAGTCTTACAGAGGCTGCCCTGAGTTTCTGTGGTAACTCTCACATCCCTTATGCATATCTAGCAAATATAAGAGGAGGGAAAAAGGCAGATGAGACCTGCAAGCCCACTGAGCCCAGCATTGCTGTCACATCCCTCAAGTGAGCAGGGGCTCCTCTCACTTGGGACCCTGTGGGAAGCACAAGCTGCCACTGCCAAGCCCTGCCTTCCCTGGGGGCAGGGAAGGGTGCTGAGCCTCCCGAGTGGGTGCTGAACCTCTCAAATGGGTGCTGATCCTCCTGAGTGGGTGCTGAGCGTCCCAAATGGGTGCTGGGCCAAACCCACAACATGGGAACCAGAAATTTGCCGCGTTTGTGGCTCAACTGCGGCGCTTCGCGGGCAGCGCCGGGAACTCGCGCAAAGGACGAGGGATGGGAGCAGCAGCCTCAGCCTTAAGTGCCTGTTTATTTAAAATAAACCCTCTTTATAAATATTCTCTTCCTCCAGCAACTCTCCCTGTCAGCTCCACGTGTGGAGCTGCAAACATATTGATTTGCAAAGAACATTTATTTTCGGAAGCTTAAACAACACGTGACGCCAAAGAGCTTTTTGCTGCTTTTCCTCCTTCTCGCAATAATTGACCTGTGGTGGTTATTAATGAGAATTAAGCTCCTGGCCTGTCCTGCCAGGGAGCAGGGGCAGGGCTGCTGCATGCTGGGATTTCATCGGAATTTCCTGAATCGCTTTTGCTGAAGCAGCAGTGGAAAAAAAAAAAAAAAAGCTGCAGCCTAGAGAAAAAACAACCCAAATTAAAACAAAATTAAAGCAAATTAAGTCAAGGGAGCAGGGAGCCCTGGCATGGGATTGTTCCTGATGCCACAAGGGCTTGGCAGGTTTTTGGAGTCTCCAGGGATGAGGCAGCCTTGACAGCTGCTCTTGTGCCTGGAAAATGGTCTGGGAGTCAGCTGAGGGCTGGAGGGGACAGGGATGGCCCTGCCATTAGCAGCACGATGGACCCTGTGAGGATGCAGGTGGCTGTGGCAGATGCTGGAAGGGGAACTCTGCTCTGCCCATCCCACCACAAGCCCAGAGCGGTGCCATTCCCACTGAGACACCAAAGCTGTGGCTGTGGGTTGGGTGGCACTGCCAGGGACAGGGGTGACAGCCACCCCCAGCCTCCTTGGCAGCACGGCCAGGGCCTCGCCGGCATTATTGTTTTTCTGTCTTCAGGGTCGAGGAGAGGAACGCTTCTTTTTATGAAGCATTATTTTACAAGGATTTGTTTAAGGGGAAAAGAATCCCATTCTAAGGGATTGCAGCTGTAAAAATACAGTTTCTGTTAAATAAAAGAGGAGAACAAACCCCTGAATCAGCTATTTACTTGTTTTCCTTACCTGGTATGACCCCTGTGCCTCCATCTCACCTCCTCCCTTCCTAGCTCTCTCCTCTCCCACCTGGATTCACCCCTGCTCCTCCCGTTTTCTCAGGATGCTGCCATGGGAGCAGCACCCTGGGGTGGTTCAGCCTCTTGCTCCTGGGCATTGCATCCTCCTGCTGTGAGACCTCAGCCTTTGGAGAGATGTGGGATGCAGGGGAAATGGAGCCAGAGGGAAGGGAGAGGGAGGACAAGGGAATCTGACACAGTTTCATTGTATATTGGGTATGAAACTGAGTTCCCTGCTCTGTGTCCTCTGTCACCCTCTTGATTCAGCCAGGTCATTCCAACTGCCCCAGTCTCTGCAGAGCATCAGGGGAAGCCTGGCCTGAGCCCCCAGGTACGTGTCCCTCAACAAAAGGGGTCCCTGGCGCTGAGCTGTCCCCCCCAGGCCGTGCCCGGCACTGGGGCAGGAGGCCTCCTGCTACCCGCGCTCTCCAGGCAGTGATTTAATAACAATAAAATGGAAACATCTGGAGTCTCATATGATGGATAAAGTGTGCACAACGTGCTTGTGGAGAGGCTCTTTCATGCTTGAAATCTCCTGTGTTATGAACTGATAATTAATCACACGGAGCAGCCACACGATGCTCCCATCTCGCCTGGCAGGTCGTGAATGGTGGCAGATCCATCATGTGTATGGGGTGGCTACAGACAGACAGACAGACAGACAAGGGTCACCTGCCCATCCTCCTGGGGGTCCCCTGCCTGTCCTCCCGGGGTCTGGGGTCAAGAACCTGCTCTTGTATGGTCAACAGAAATCCCATGAGATTCATTTTTTTTCCCACTTGGAGCAGGGGAGACGCTTTGGGGGTCCTGTGCTCCCGGCTCACTCCACTCTGCCTGGGCACTGCAGCCACCATACTGGGCACTGTCCAGCCAGGCTGCTGTCCTCCAGAGGCAGCTCCAGCCCCCCAGCACACTCCAGTACAACCAAAACCATCCCTTGACGCAAAGCCAAGCCCAGCAGGAGCTGCTGAGCCAGGAGGGTTCATACAGGGGCAGCACTTGAGGGGTCCCTGCTGTTCTCTGGGGATGCTGGAGCAGGATGGGGCCCAGCAATCCTCCACACTGCTCAGCTCTGGGGGGAGCAGGGCCCCGACCCAGCACCGAGACCCCTGGCACGACTTCAGAGCCGCGGCCGCCACGCTGACGGTGCGAGTGTCGGCTCCCCTGGCAGGCGGCGAGCAGACGTGTTAAAAACCTTTGGCACGCCATGAAAGCGCTGGGAACGGGGAAAAAATCTCACACTTAAACCATGAGAAAAGACAAGAAATGTCACCTTGTTCTTGCAGGAAAACAACCAGCCCGTGCTGCCTCCGTCGCTCCGCAACTGCTCGTGGCTTGTGCTGGGCAGCCCGGTGAGCTCCCAGCGTGTTCCTGGAGTGCTCCTGGCCATTGCCAGTGGAAGGGGGCTGCTGGCCCCCACACTGTCCCACTCTCCCCACAGAGCCCATGTCAGCACTCCCATGCCTGTGCACTGGGCAATGTTCCTGTGAACACCATGGCCCCGCTTCCCCACGGACACGGCCAGGGCTGTTGGCTGAGCTGCAGCTGATTTATGGCCCCTGTTACTTAAATATTAATGAAGGGCCTGGCCGGCCCCGCGCCTGCTCCCTTTGAGGCTAATTATTTTTTAAGTCAATATATGTGATCCACGGGGGATCTGCCATTGTGACTGAAGGTCGGCACAACGGGGAACTTGTTTATAGCCGGCAGTCAAAGCGTGGTCAGTTTGGGGCACAGCATGTGCTCTCTGGCACTCCCCCCAGCTCCAGCCCCACATCCATCCCAGGGCCACGCCAGCCCCACAGAGGGGCTCGGGGATGATGCAGGATGGGGAATTTGATGCACTTCAACTGCATGCCCAGGTGAGGCCCCATCCCATCCCCATGCCCATTGCTGTCTGCATCCTCTTCCTCATGCCCAAACTGTCCCCGTTCTGTGCTCTGGGATCACAAGGCACAGCCACTGCCTCTGGAAGCTGTGGCAGAAGCTGTCCCCAGGCTGGGGGGGAGCCGTGGGAAGCTCCTTGCCCTCGTCCAGGGCTGGGGGGGATGCAGGGAAAGGGAAGCACCGGGAGCAGCCAGCGCGTGTGGGTGGGCTGGAGCACGGCTTGGCCGCCGCCGTGTCCCATCGAGCCGCTCCATCCTCCGGTCATTTACAATAAAAAATAAAGCAGGGAGGATTTCCAAGCCCAACACGGGGCTGGCCCGGCTCCAGCGGGAGGTCGATGATTTGCTTTGCGCTACACATGCTTTAAAAATAATAATAAACCCAGTCAAAAACGAAAAGTGAGCTATGAAGAGGGAGAACAGCACGTTGTTTCCGCAGGCTGGGCTGCGAAAGCCAAAGGCATCAGGGAGCAGCTCGGCTGAGCAGCGCCGGAGCGTGGGGGAGACTTGGCACCAGCCTGTCCTTGACTGCATGACACCTGATCCCATCCAAGGCTGCTGTATGCGCTGCCGGACCCGGAGCCCGAGCCGGAGCCTCGCCCGCCAGCAGCCCAGGGAACAAGAAAACATTTTCCTTGATGAAGAAAAAACACCCCACCCCATCTGCAGGGACCTGCTCCTGCACACAGTGCCAAAGCCTGGCCCTGGACGGAGTGGGATAGGCATGGCATGGCATGGCATGGTGTGGTACAGCATGGTATGGCATGGTACAGCATGGTATGGCATAGTATGGGCATGGTATGGCACGGTATGGTACAGCACGGTATGGCATGGTATGGCACGGCACAGCTTAGCAGATCATGGCATGGCACAGCACAGCATGGCCGTGGTGCCCCCTGCCCATGGCTCACTCTGCCCGGGTCCTGCAGTGATGCCAGCACCAGGGGCGGTGGCACCGCTTGATCCCGCGGCCACCGGGTCAGGGCTCAGCTCGAGCGGATTAGTGACCCCGGGCGTGTGTGCCGGGAGCGCAGCCGCAGGTCACGGCTCAGGGCTTAATCCCTCACCTCCAGCTGTCAAAACTCCTCTGCAGCAGCCCCGGCGGGTGTGCGTGGGGCTGAGGGCATCCCTGCGGATGGGCGGGCACCCGAGAGCCAGAC